CCCCTGTGGGACCCATGCTTTTATCGGGTGTTCTTCAGAGGTATCAGTATCTATTCTCACTTTAAACGTACGGTTTGTGATAAATGATGATATTATATTATATAGATAGGTTGGCAGTTTTAGTTTTGTTAATTTGGACATGAGGCCTTGGTGCCAGACCTTGTCGAAAGCCTGTGCAACGTCAAGAAAGGCAGTGGTTGTGTATTTTTTATTTTCAAATCCATCTAGTACCACGTTTTATATAGAGTTGTTTTCGATAAAATTTACACTGATGTATATTCTATATGTAGAGGCCTCTAAATGAATATAATGTGATTTACCATATAATTATTTAAATATCTAAGAAACTTATTTAACATTTTTAATCATTTGCTTTTAGTATGGTTAAAATTGATATGGACTATCTCAACTTAAATTGATAATTGTTATGGTCTGCAACAACGCTACTACCAACCACAAATTTGGTATATTAAATTATTGTAGTCAATCAGTCTAAACAAATTCCATCAATACATTGCCACATGTTGAGACGTATTCAATTTTCAGTAAATTTATAGTAGTTTTATTCTAAGGTAAAATATATAAGATCATCAATTTTCAATAGTTTAGTTAGTTGCTATAAATTCGTCATTCGATAATTATTATTGTTATTTTTTTTTTAGTTACTGTGGAACACTATTGCCGATAATCGTTTTCCATTAAGTCAGTAAGAAGAATAAGATGGATTCACAATTTCAAATCAAATATTAGTCCACAACACACTTAGTTATTCAGCTAAAAAATAAATTCAATAAAATAATATAAAAATACTTTATAATTTTAAAAGTGACATAAAGTTTTTAAACTTTAAGTATTTAAACACACATATACTTAGCATATCTATATGTATTATAATAATTATTAATTACTTATTAGTCCTACTTAAAATATGGGATAATAATTAATATGATAAATTTCTAGATGGAAGAACTATATAAATATTTAGCCCAACTAAATTATTACAGGGACAAATGTGAATTAGTTTTTTCAACTACTGATTTATTGTGATTGTTTATTAACCGGTTTTTTAGATGGACCTACTTTGTATTTTAGGAGGAGTTACTTATTTATTTTAATTTATAGCTCTCACAAGGTACATTTTGTGCCTAATTTATTTTGTTTTATTTGAACGGGTTTCTTTTTAAGACACTTATTCATCAATGATACTCTGACTTGAGGCTCTGTATAATAATATATTTAACATTTTCAATTATTGGGTTCTAATAATATCGGAAACATTTTAAATATTTTGTACAACGCTAACTAAAGTTGTTTTTTACTAGAGATATTTTTTACCCGTCTCTGGTGTTTTTTTAGAAATATGAACGGTCTGTTATTATACAAATAACATTGCCATTGGCGTCATACTATAACAAAACTGTTTCTATGTAGCTTGAATAATATTTGTTAAATAATGTCCTACTTAAAATATTTTACCTATACATATTACTTATTAGTTAAATATTACTAACTTTTATAGCCACTAACGGTCGGCTGTTGCCTGTTTTTTAATAATAACCTTTTATGGAGATTTTAAAAATTGTGTTTTTTTTAATAACAGTATAGGAGCAGTATCATAATGTTAAATGTTCACGAGATCTGATCTAGTCATAAAATAAAGTACTAAAACTACGACTTTTAAATACTTTTAAAATATATCTTAACTTGAACATAGTTATAAAATAATGAAATATTTTATACAAAATTATAAACTAAAAAATTAAAACTAGCACGAAGCAGATTACATATCTTATATAAGATAATTTAAACAATCAAGCGTGAATCTCTTTAAATGAATAATAGTATAACAATATGCAAGACATTAGTGTTCCTTAAAAAAATTGTGTAGTATAAAACACATTTTGGGGCGGTATACTGTATAAAAACCAACACTTAATCGGAATCCAAAAAACAACAGTCCTCTTCATAGTTTGCAGATAGTTGGACCTTATATACTCAAAGTTGACCTTCGGTACGGTAATATAACGTGGGCGCTAAAATAACGAGATAACGAAAGTGGTTTTGTCGTATCAGAATCATTAAGTGTCTTAATAAGTACACGGATAGGTTTTTTTCCCATAAATCGTGTGTCTACTATAATCAGTTACATGATTAGTCGTCTGTGATATCATGTAATAAACACAATATTATGATACCGTCCATTGGGTCCTAACCTAACCTAACACGGCTTGACGTTACCAACTGACAGTTTTTAGTGTCTGTTCGTTTCTCACATCTGGTACACCATGTTTTTAGTTTAAAAAAAAAAAAAATTGAATTTGTGTAAACTTAAAGTCAAAAGTGGTACTTGAGCACAAAACTTAATAGTATCATTCTGCGTAGATATACATAAAATTGTTTTAATGATTTCATAAATTTTTTTTTAAGATTTTAGGTATTTTTGTTAAAATATACGCAATCTGCGAAAATACAGTTTTCCGGCAATTAAAAAAAAACTGTAGCGCCGAATTTTTTTTCCGTTTAATATGTTATGAATACATATGAGTTCCAGTACTGCAAATTTTCAACCCAAAGTCTTAAAATTACGGCTAAAAACTAAAAAAACTTGAACCCCCCTAGGGGGGTGGAAATGGGTTTAATTTAAATTTGATACAACTGATGTGCGCAGACATACCAAATAAATATTTCTTATAAATTTCGACTCGATCCGACTCTTTTTCTCGAAATTATAGCCAGTAAAAGTTCTAACTTAAAAACTCGTACGGTTTATTTTCTAATGTATTTAAATGGGAATACCCGTTTCACTATCCCACCCTTTACGTTTTAAGGATCTATGGAAAGGTTTTTTTAGTTGCATTTTATTTTTTACATTGTCAATCTAGTAAAATAGAAGTATGATATAGCTTTGAAATAATATAATCTATGAAGTATAAATAGTTTGTGTGAGATTGCTCTAATGGAAGTATATAATACATAAATATTAATTTTATTGAGAATAAGCGATTATAATTTAAACTATGGAATACAAACGATTGGAACATGAATCGTCGACCATTCCAACAAAAATTAACAAGACATTGTATATGTTTTATTTGGTCCACTACGTTTTTGCAAAAAAAAAAAAAAACAGTACATTGGGGTCGGGGCATAGTGGGGACGGAGCATAGTTGGGTCGGGGCATAGCGGAGACGGGGAGGTCACAGTTTTATAGGAATTTTTAAATCTGAAAGTGATAAAATCAATTTCAAAAAAACGCTTCGATGCAAATCGGTAGTTAGTATTTTTTAGCCAGTACAGTCTAAACCAAGCACAGTATAAACCACCAAAGTTAGAAAGTTTTAAATTCAGGTTCTGTATTTACAAATGAGCATCAAAGCGTTAAATTGAAAGTGATTTTGTCCGAGAGGACTAGCACAGTAGAGTATAGGCATAATGTAATCAAAGCAATGAGGAAACGGAGACGTCACAGGTCTACAGGAATAGAATCATTTGGTATGCCCACTAAATGATTATTCCTTATAAATTTCCACTCGATCCGACTCTTTTTCTCGAAGTTATAGCCAGTAAAAGTTCTAACCTAAAAACTCGTAGGAGTTTTGTTTTGTTTTTTCAAATTTCGTCTGTGAAGAAGTAAACTTTTTTAACTTTTACCCCCCCCCCCCCCCAAAGTACCAACTAGATGAAATTTGCGTTTCATAGAGTTGGTATTCGAAGGAATTGGTCTGACCTGGTCGAATACCCTGTCATCGTCACTGTGTTTATATAGTTACATAACGATATATTTAATTTACAAGTTGTATTTGAGAATTTACAAGCCCACAAAATGTGTTTACAAATTAATTAATTTTGTAATATAATTTGCTAAATAAATAGTTAATTGTTTATAATAAATTAATTAAGTTGGTATACAAAATTCAGGCAAAAGTTATTTTATACCATATTTTGGTGCAATTTATTTTTTATTATATATAAAAATATAGAACAACTATCAGTTATATATAAAAATTATATTTCTAAACTTGAGAAAAAAAACCATTCATAATACCTATTCCTAACGATATTCTTATAGCTTTTCCTTCAGCCTATTTCTCAAAATAATCGACCAATTTTTTTTTTTTTATTGGATATTCATGATACGTTAAAAAATAATAAAATATATTTTTTGGTACCTAGAACAATTTAAACAAATAAAACGGTTTTTTTATTTCAACGTCTACAGAATTCTTAAACCAGAGGCCCAAAACTGGGTTTCCAATTGTAAATGTGTTAGATTTTATTTTATACATTAAACTTTCGTTGTATGAAATGCGGTAGTATATTATTTACCTCAAGTTCGTATCGATGTGGAATAACATATAATTAATAATAATAATACATATTACATTTTATAAGAACAGTCTATTTTTTGTACTATTCAATGCGTTAGACATAAATGACTTAGAATTTACTGTGTGCAAAAACACATAACATTTTCATTGTTTTAGTCTTTTTTTATTAGTTTCTTACCGATGTGAATAACAAAACATGAGTAATAGCCGACAAAAAACACTTCTCTAAATCAATGCACATCCACATAAAAACAATTTTACACATTTGGAATTTAGCACACAATAATGCGTTGGAAAAAAAAAATTGAAATCGACTTTCTTTTTGATTTAAAATATCATGTAGGATTAATTTTCGTACCCGGCATTGTTCTTATTTACATCGTGTATAACCCAATCCAATACCATTGTGATTGTCCAGCCAGGATATTGTTTTCCTCATTTGGCTATAATATATAATCTATTCTACAATGTTTTATTTAGGCACCGACATTAGAACTCCATACCGGCTATGTTAGGTACCTCTAATATCAAATCTCTATATAATAACCATTAAAATAAATTATCCATTAGAAATATAAACAATGACCCTGTCATCCAAACCAGCTGAGTCATTTGATAAAGATACAAAAATACAACTTTACTTATTCGGTAATTATTTTTTTATTGGTAGACATAGCGTAAAATAAAAATAGGCATACGGTATTATGTACTTAAAAATGTATCTTTTGGAATACGTTATTGAAAAAATCCACCAACTGTTTTTTTCCCGTCATCTTAATTATATGTATATATTTTAGATATTATAATGAAAAAGTGACAATGATAAGGAAAATAAAAATATTATTTTATAACGTAATAACATAGTCGGGTGTGGGTGGAACTCGTGGATGTCCCCGTTGTAACTGTGCTTCGAGTGATTCTCCTGCTTGGTCATTTAAGCCTATTTGTGACCATGTGCCATCAATTTTCCTGTAGCTCCTTTTAGTATTACTTTTATCCGTAAAGATACAAGTAAGGCTAGTTGACTCAATCTCAACTTTTTTTATGTATGTATCTGGTGATTGTGTACTAAGATATATTCCTAACAAACGACACTTCGGTAACAAAGAGGCCTCATCATCTACAACCTGTTCACCTAAAAAATTTTAAATTTTGTTTATTATGCTAATATAAACTTACTAGTTTACTACTTTTCTTTAAATTTATTTGGTGAATGGTTAAAAATTAAAATCAGCTGTATACTTTTTCCTATTAAATAACTTATATATACATAAATATATTAATAGCGTTCATAAACCATACAACTTCATAATAATATTTACCTAATAAACGACGTCTGATTAAACGTGTTAAAGCTGTAGCAGCAAATTCTCTTCTCTCGTTTGCAATGTCTTGCAATGTTCCACGATCTATAAAAATAATTATTAAAAAACTGTGTTGCGAAGAAATAATAAAAATAAATAATATATTAGTCGCTCTTTATACATAATTATTGCATTACATTTCAAAGAATTGTGATACAAATAACTTTTGTACAACCACTTATTAGTGTTGAAACTCAACAAATGTATTATTTCTATTTAAGTCCTTAAGAATTTATTACACATTAAAACTGTAGTCACACTCAACAAAAAGATAAATTTATTAAAATCATTATCTGACATAATAAATTTAAAAAATTACCAGTGGTATAAGTCATTTGTAGTCTATATCCTGTAACACATCAAACATCAAATCATTATTCAGTTTATAAAACCCAGTTAATATATTTTATACATAACATTCACTGTAAACTGAGGTTAATTAAATCAATATTATTTAATGCAAAATGGCATTGTATAAATTTAAATGTATATCATATGTTTAAATTTTATTTCGAATGATTCTTAAAAGCTTAACAATATAGCACGTATAGCTTGGTGACTTGATGTTATTAATCCAGTTTTTCTTTAAAACTACGAATAAATTTTACTCTTTTTTTTTTAAATTGATATTTACCTATTAGTTCTGCACCTATGAACCGTATCATTAAATCGAGAAATACATTGGCTTCTAAAATTTAAAATAAAATATGTTATTATAATATACTTACATATTTTTTTATGATTTAAACCGTGTATCGTATTGATATATTTTGTCAACAGGTACATATAATTAGTCTCAAAGTTTTGGTAAATAATAAATATGAAATACTAAAAGGGGTTTTTACTTTGCGTTGGGCCTACAACCAAATCGTAATCTGAAATTAAAACAAAAATCTTGTTTGCATAAAGAATAACAAACAGCTATTGCATAACAAAGAGAAAATAATTGGCTGCTAAAAGTTAAAACAAAATACATTTTAATGTACCTATATAATTTTTTTTTTTTAATGAAACCAATATTGGTGTCATATTGGTGTTTGTCAATAGGTACATAAGATTATTCTCAAAGTATTTAGAAATAATAAATATAAAAAGCAATTTTTACTTCCTGGTCGGTTTGGAACTGGAAGCAAAACTGAAATTAAAACAAAATCTTGTTTGCATAAAGAATATCAAACAACAGTGTGGAAACGCTTCCATAGAGTGCAATGATTATTATTACCCGGTACATTAGATAAAATATCCTTGTGGTCTGAAATAATTAAGAACACATAAATTAATGTTATTGCATTTAAATTACTATTCTATTATGAACAGGAAAATAAATTTCAAGGTAAAAAAAACATGTTTATTAAAAACTCGAAAGAAATATGCTCCACTGTATATTCAGTACAATGAGAGTCTCTTTGAAAAATTCAATAGGAACGAAATATTGGAATCATTTTTATAAAATTTAACAAAAACTATTACCCGGTACAGCGATCAAAAAACAAATTTTCGCTGAAATTAATATTACATAAATTAATGATATTGGATTTGATTTGCTATAATAAATTATTACGTTATATAATTATAAATTAGAAGACGAAGGCCAAAGTAGAAAAAAAATTATATTAAATAGACTAGGGAACCCTTATGAAATGTAATGGCTGAGTTAATGTAGTATTTTTTCATAAAGCTACTATTTAGATTTCGATGAAAAATGTAATAATTATAACACTTGTTATTTGCACACTCATAAACGTGAGATTCAGTTTTTATATTATTTTCAAATATTTTTTTTCTACTCTTGCCTTGATGTTTTGTATTATTATTATAAAATATATGATTACGGAAATTCTTGAATGTTAATCTATTATCGACATCATCAACCATTGACTCAATAATATACTCCAAACCCTCTAGAATAAACAAATGAAGATTTAGGTTATACTAAATTAATAAAATAAAATAAAATTAGGTACAATACAAATGTTTAGAATAATATTAAACCCGACTTTGAGCAGTAGCCATTTAAGTTCACTCTCTTCTCCCTCGATTAGAAAATTATAAATCGCTAATGCATAATACACTCTATGGTGTACCAGATATGTAGAGCAGTGCATAAGTGAACAGAGCGTAATACACTATAGTGCTCTGTTAACTGTTCTACATATCTGGTGCACCTTCCTAAGCTATTAATAACAACTAAAATGTTTATTTAATAATAATTTGGCAATTAGGTACATATAACAAAAATTCTATATATATTAGTATATTACTATAAATATAATATCTCACCTCGAGATATTGTACGATGTAATTGATTACTTACATTCCTCATAGAATAAATAGCTTTGATGACTTCGGCTGAGATATATAATTTAAAAAATTTGTATAAAACAGTGTATTTTAAAAACTTAAAAATCATTTGTTTATAATATAAAATTATTACTGACTTGAAGTGTAAACATTATCCATATAAACCGACTCTGTGAAAAAGTGAAACATTAAATTTTTTCAAATTTTAACTACCTTAAGTTGATAACTGTGCAAATAAAATAATTACCATCATCTGCCAAAACACCCGCAAGGAATAGAAAAGTTATCAATAAAGTGAAGAGTTTCATTATTATCTGCGAATAATAATAAATCAAAAACCATTTTATATTAGTCATAGTTGCCTTTTGTATAGAGACGAGAATGTTAGGTTAGGTATGATTTTTCAATGCAGTTTCAATATAATAAATTAATTTTTATATATATAAGGTAGAAATCTACCACGAAAGGTACTTTATTTGGCCAAAATTACAGTTATTTCACCATATTGAGGATAGGCAAAGTAAGAACAGGTCTGTTAACAATAATTTCAGTTGCATCGTATGAAAAAGTTAAATTATACTATTCAAAATGATAATTAGAAAAATTAGTATTTAACTAAATGTTGTTATTAAAATTCGATTTTATGAAGTGACATATACACCTTATTTTCAGGCGTTGTATGATATAGTATAATAAACGTGTACACATTTGTTTCTAGCATTTTGTTTTAATACGTTAGAAGTAAAATTTTTTATTGAATATTCTTGTAAACGTTACTTACACCCTATTGGTTAGGTGTACTATTTTAATTTAATACATTGAAAAGTAATTAATACGTCTACGAGTATAATAAGTGAGGCATGATAAAATAAAGTATTTGCAACTTAAAAAAGTGTTATTTCATAAATTAAAGTACCGAACAATATTCATTGGACAAACGTATTCAAATGTATTATATACATACACAATAAACTTTGTTTAAGTTATCTATGATATGTTTTTTTTCTTTATTTTTTTATCATTTTAACAATGGAAAATTAAATATTTAATGTTTAACATATTACAAAGAAATAAACTAAACGATTGTGCTAACACAATTTTTTTTGCTTACTCTTAACTGCTTACAATAAAATTACAAATACAATGAAATATAGTGTGATATTTGTTAATTAATAAATGGGGATATGTGTTATTGGTCTCTACTGTATAAATTAATAATATTAAAAAAAGCATTATCCACTCTATATAGGACCATGGATATGTCTTATGACCGAGTAAATGTCAATTTAAGTGTACCCAAATTTCTGATTTCTGATGGTAACTTTCAGTGTCCGCAGACATTTTCTTTTAGACCCCAGCAAAAAGACATATCCATGTCACTGAGTTGTAATACAAAATAAGGTTGTGTATTTTTTGTATTATTAATATCAATAAAAACGTATCACTTTTGTCATGAATATTTATAGTATGTTAAATGTATAATATTTATAGTACGTTTTTGTACGTAAATATTGTTCGGTACTTTAATTTATGAAATAACACTTTTTTAAGTCGCCATTACTTGTTTTATCAAATCTTCAAATATTTTTTTTTTTTAAACCTTTTTTCGAATGAGATACGAGTTTTATTTTAAATAATTTTAAAATTGAAAAAAAAAAATACCTTTTATTTTACCCATAGAACATCCTAAATGTCTCATTTGAAGCTCGGTAGAACTTTCCATGACACCCTGTATATATAATTTTTTTTATCACATTCACAATATTTCCTAGACCGTTAAACTGATTTTTTGTAAAGAAAGGTAGAAATCTACGTCGAAAGGTACTTTATTTGGCCAAAATTACAATTATTTCACCATATTGAGGATAGCAAAAGCAAGAACAGGTCTGTTAAAAATAATTTTAGTTACATTGTATGAAAAAGGTACATTACACTATTCAAAACGAAAATTAGAAAAATTAGTATTTAACTAATTATTGTAATTAAAATTTGATTTTATGGAGTGACACTATACACCTAATTTTCAGGCGTCTAATCTGAAATACGTGTACACATTTGTTTTGTAGCGTTTCGTTTTAAAATCGTAAAAAATAAATTAAAAACATGCAAAACTATTTTTCATTATTTTGACTTAATTTTAAAGAGAATAACAAAGTTTTTTTTGAAAATTAACTTTTTCTTCAACGTAGATTAATTTATTTTAAAGATTAACAAAAAAAAACAAAATACAAGGATGATAAAATTATTTTTACATATTTCATTTATAATGTGTATAAAATTATCAAACAAACGATAAATTATAAGTGCATTTTAGTAAGTCGAACAAGAAAATATATGTTTCCTTCATTTTATCATTAAAATTATTTTTTGTACTAAATATAGACGCTCTTATCAATATAGAAATTCATATTTGAAAATTTCTATAAAATGGATTTTATGTTATTTTGTTTTTTTATAAACAATTTGTTTTTTAATTGGAAAATGACTATAATTTATTTTATAAATTAAGTCGAAGTAAAAAGAAAACATATTTTTAATTTTTAATTTTATTTTGTCAATTGAAAAAAAAAATTTTAAAAGGTATTTTTTTTTATCTTTGAATTGTTAAATGTTTTTAGTTATATTAGAAACGTGTTGGTTAAATTTTGCCGATCGCATTTTTCACTTGGGGCTGACCAAATATTTTTTTTAATCTTAGTTGTACACGCAATGCGATCTACTATTGTGAGGTATTATGAAAACGATGTAACTAGCAATAAAAAAAACCTTATTAATGTTTTTTAACACTATAACTTTTGACTCTTTAGGCTGATGCCTTTTTAGCGTTATTACAGTTTTTGAAAGTTTAATAGAAATACTTACTTTAATTGTGGAGTTGGTAAGAGATTCTTGGACAACAGTCGACTGGTTCAGATTTTGAAACTAAGTGTACTGCTTGCGACTTATGTATGGGCTTTTACTTCGACCGAAAAATCACAATCCAAATAAATTTTAGCAATGTACATATCATGTTCATTTATTAGCACAAATGGTTCATTTTTTTTTTTTTTGTGATTTATCTTGCACCTACATTTTTTTGAAAGCGGCTTTTAGAACTATGTTTTTCTACACACTACACCTAAATAAAAAATATATATTACTCGACGGAATAGTAGGTATTATTTTTTTTTAAACAGGGACAAAAATACTGTGTAAAATTGAAAACAACAATTCGCATAAAGTTATAAAAAATAATAGTACCGACCTATAAACAAAAAAAATAAGTTGTTTTTCAGTGAAATATTTTTGCATTTGGAAAATTTGTACAAATAAGAAAAGTTACAACGACAACAACAGCGGAAAATACAAAAACAGTTTCGTTTTAACAGCAAATGAATGGATTTTCAATTGAAACACTAGATAACATATCTGTTTAAATTTAATATTGCAAATTGAGAACAATTTTTAAAAAAACAACCGGCTAGATTAGGTTAGGGACTGATGCAATGATTAAAACCACTTTTTTCTTAAATACTGCCTAGATGAATTCTCTTGAAAACTTCCTGCATTCAATCCCTTTACGGTAATCGTTGAGCATTTGATATTTGCTAATTTGTATAAAATGCCTAATTTAGCTTTCTCTTTACCGAAAAAAGTGTTACCAAATAAGCGTTACGCTGTTATCTGATAAGAGATAAGAGATATTTTGTACGTTTAACGTTCAAATTAGAATTAAATGATAAATTCAAAATAGTTTAAGGCCCCAAATTCTCTATGAATTGTTTTAAGCCAGATAATAAACACTACAATATTAGCCAGAAACTTGATGTTTTAATATACTAGCTTGTTACTGCTTCTTAACAGGGCCGGACTTAAAGGGGGTGTGGGGGGTTTGACACCCGGAAAACTCAAGTATACCTAGTCGGCACATTCGGAACAAAAAGTCGATAAATATTATAACCCCCGTAAAATTATACAAATAACATATTTATTATTTTTATTTTATAAAAGTAGGTAAGTACATAATTTTTATTGGAATCTAGCGACAAATAGTGAATAGTCGGCATACGGACGACCATAAGAAAATATAATTTTAGTTTTTAGTAAAAAAACAACAATGCATTTTCGGTTATTCCCGATTTTAGCAGAAGTCTTATTATTTGTTTATAATAACTGTGGTGTATATTATTATATCAAACGATGTTCGGTCATGGGATCTATTGGTCTATTGTAAACAAACATTCTATCCCTCTATAAGTATATCAAAAATCAAAGCGCAGAAATTACAATAAATAATGAATCAGCTAGTGCAAAAATACGTAGAGGTGTAAGACAAGGGTGCCCACTTTCACCATTATTATTCAACTGCTACACAGAAAAAAGTATAACGGAAGTTAAAGATAAACTTAACAGACTTGGGATTGGAATCAAAGTAGGTGGTATATTGATTCCAATGATCCGGGTTGCAGACGACATCGTATTATTAGCAGAAACAGAGCACGACCTTCAGAGAGCCCTGGCAGAAATGCAAATAATTATAAATAAGTATCAAATGCGTATAAATTCAGGTAAAACAAAAATTTTGGTTTGTGCACGTGAACCCACAATTAACGCAAATATTTATTTAGAAAACCAACTTATTTCCCAAGTTTCTAGTTTTAAATACTTGGGAAGTTTAATAACATCAGAAGGAAAAAGCTCGCAGGAAATTAAACAAAGAATCGGGCAAGCAAAGGCAGCTTTTATCAAGAAAAAGAAAATTTTGGTTTCGCAAAAAATTAGCATAGAAATTAAGAAGACATTTTTAAGAACGTTTGTATGGAGTGTAGCTTTATACGGCTGCGAGACATGGGTCATTAATGAAAAGGAAAAATGATCCCTTTTAGCATTCGAAATGTGGTGTTGGAGACGTATGGAGAAAATAAACTGGACAGAAAGAGTAACAAATGAAGATGTACTGACACCCAAGTTGAAGAAACAAGATCCATAATTAAAGCCATAAAGCGACGACGATGGGACATACTATAATAGAAGGTGCAATTGAAGGACGAAAACCACCAGGAAGACCAAGAAACTCGTACATATCTCAACTGAAAAATGACGCAGGGATTGATACTTACGCCGGATTAAAAAGACTTGCTGAAGATCGTGACAAATGGAGAGCGAAGTTAAAAACGTTGTAAACCAACCTAATATAGGTTGAAAAAAAAAAAAAAAAATAAGTATATATTTTTATTTTAGTTTTAAAATTCGTAGTTCTGCGATAGCGGTTATCTGGTGCGCACGTGTATTCGCGCTCCCGATGTCTTATTTTATTTTTCTCTCTTTTAATTAATTAATTCGCTTAATAATACCTGTAAACGGCGTTTGGAAATGTGGTAGTCGCGTTTCTTGTAATCGTTTACAAGCATAATTTAACTCAAAGTGCCCCAATTACGTTTAATATAGTTCATTCGTTTCGGCGTTATACGTTAAACACATTTGAGGTTCATCACGGCCGTCGCGGCGGCGGCCTTGATAATTTTATAGTTGTACGCTATCGCGTGCACTCGTTATCGTAATATATATATATATATATCAATTCTCTCGCCACAATGTCTAACAACAACAACAGACCGATTACGCCGATCAAAATTATTAATAATAAAAGCGTACACAATTCATCGTCCCAATCGAATGCAAACAACAGCTCAGCAAATGATGGCTGGTCCGTACAGGGCAGTAAAAGAAATCACTCCAGCTCCTCTTCTTCTGAACCACCAATCTCACCTAATTTACATTCTCAACCAATTTAAAAAAAATTATTTTCATCATCAAATAGATTTGAAGTTTTAAAAATAACTGATGATCATGACGATACTCAAAACACTAACACATTCTCAAACAATACGAAAAAAAATAACACACAATCTACTACCAACCCCCCTCCTCCAATTTTTATAAAAGGCGTGCAAGACTTTCCTGCACTATGCACAAATCTAATTGAGATACTTGGTGTTGAAAACTTTATTTGTAAGTCATCCACGGATCGATTAAAAATCCAAACTAGCACTCCTGATACATATAGGACATTAATTCACTTCCTCAAGGAGCAAAAAGCTGAATATCACACGTATCAACTCCAACAAGATAAACCCACTCGTGTAGTGATTCGCAATCTACACCCAACAACTCAAATCAGCTTAATTAAATCAGAACTGGAACTCCGTGAATTTGAAGTACGTAATGTTACTAATGTTCTTCATAAAGTCCACAAACATCCATTACCACTATTTTTCGTTGATCTGGAACCTACCCCTCAATCAAATGACATTTATAAATTAACTTCCATGCTCCATACTAAAATAAAAGTCGAGGAACCGTACAAACCTAAGATAATAAGTCAATGTTTAAACTGCCAGGAATATGGCCATACTAAATCTTATTGTAACTACCCATCACGCTGTGTTCGCTGTGGTGATTTCCACCAATCATTTGACTGCTCAAACTCTCGTGATGCTCCACCCAAATGTGCACTTTGTCAAGGAAACCACCCAGCCAACTACAAAGGCTGTTTAGTCTACAAAGAAATTCAACGTCGAAAGAAACCCTCTTCTAATAATGTATTTCTGTCAGATAACTCTAGACTTAAGTCAAACGTTGTACAAACTAGCCACCCAGAAAATGACGCCCCCCTAAACGCTTCTCGTTCATACGCTCAGGCTACCTCCGGCCAACGCTCAATTCATCCTTCTCCCTCCTCACCTGACATTAATAAAGTAATGACTAATTTTCTTGAGGATTTTAAATCTCTTATAAATCCTCTAATATCTCTTCTTACTAAAGTAATATCCTCTCTGTTAGATAAAAGAAATGACTAATACCTCTACAAAGAAATCCCTTCTTGTCCTACTATTTAATGCAAATGGCTTAAAAAATCACACTAACGAACTCCAAACTACTCTATATAATAAACGTATTGACATTGCTTTAATAACAGAAACTCATTTTACTCAATATTCACACATACACATACCTGGTTATAAGCTACATAAAGTTAACCATCCAGACAACACAGCTCATGGAGGTGTGGCCATCTTAATAAAATCCACAATAATATATCAAACTCTTCCAAATTTCTGTCAAGACTTTATTCAATCTTGTGCTATAAAAATCAGCTTAAATAATATTCCAATTACAGTTGCAGTAATTTACTCACCTCCTAAGCATAATGTATCTTATGCAAACTTTTTAAATTATTTCAATACAATTAACAATAACTTTATAATTGGCGGTGATTATAACGCGAAGCACCAAAGTTGGAGGTGTAGAGTTAATAACCCACGTGGAAACGTTCTCTACAATTTTATAAATTCTAAAAATTTCAAAGTACTTGCTCCTCCAGGACCTACCTATTGGCCATCATCCCCCCATAAAAATCCAGATATACTGGATATATTTGTAACTAAAACCCCTTCAAATTTGCACTATTCTGTTGATAATATTCTGGATTTAAATTCCGACCATTCATCGGTTATTCTCACAATTAAGGACTATCCGCAAATCATTACTGAACCACTAAGGCTTTTTCACGGCTCTACTGATCGTTTCAAATTTCATGACCTTGTAGATCAGAATCTCCAAATAAATATTAAATTAAAAACCAATGATGACATAGACGCTGCTGTAAATAGCCTAACTAATGTTATTCAATCAGCAGCTTGGGCTGCTAACACAGCTAAAAATGTACATACCACTAAAACCGATTCACTACCGACTAATATTCGTATCCTCATAGCAGAAAAAAGAAGAGCTAAAACTCTTTACCAACGTACTCGTTTACCCTCACACAAAAAAATATATAACAAGTTAGCCAACTCTCTTAAAAAAATGTTATCTAAAAACAAAAATCTCTCTTTTGAAAATTACCTGACTAACTTATCATCAAAAAATGGTAGCCTTTGGAAAGCGACAAAGCAAGCACTACAATATAAAGTAACTACCCCAACTATCAAAAAAACTGATGGAAGTCTAGCCTCGTCAGACCTTGAAAAAGCTGAACTATTTAAAAATCACCTCTTTAACGTTTTCCAACCCCACCAAGATGTTTCACCTGACAATATACATATGGTTCTTAGGTATCTCGACGTACCATTACCACTTACTCTACCAGTCAAGCATTTTACGCCTAGTGATATTAAATTTACAATACAAAAGTACTCTCTAAAGAAGTCTCCAGGTTTTGACCTAATTACTGCTGAAGTAGCTAGATGTCTACCTAAACGAGCATTTATCCTACTTACCCATATATTTAATGCCATACTGAGGCTTTCCTACTTCCCACTCCTCTGGAAGTTCTCTAAAATCATCCTATTCCCAAAACCAAATAAGCTCCTTGACTCGTTACCTACTTATAGACCAATTAGTCTATTACCATTTTTTGCGAAAGTTTTAGAAGACTCATACTCAAGCGCATACATCCCTTTATAAATGAAAATAAAATTCTACCGGATTACCAATTTGGTTTTCGTGCCAAGCATTCAACTATCCATCAAGTACATAGACTAGTCGACTTAGTTTCTTATGCACTTGAAAAAAAATTATATTGTACCTGCGCTTTTCTTGATATTTCACAGGCTTTTGACTGAGTATGGCACGAGGGTCTGCTATACAAATTAAAGAAATGTTTGCCCCGCCCTTACTATATTCTTCTTAAGTCATATCTAACCGATCGATATTTTCAAGTCCATCATAAATCAGCGTATTCTAATATTGCACAAATTAGAGCTGGTGTTCCACAAGGAGGCATCCTTTCCCCAATTCTGTAAAACATATACGCTTCAGACCAACCAACCACGCCTAATACATTAGTGGCAGACTATGCAGACGATAAAGTAATTATATCAACCAACGCAGATCCCATTATTGCATCGCATAACTTACAAAATCACCTTTCATTAATGGAAGTGTGGTATAAGAATTGGAGATTTAAGGTCAATCAAGCAAAATCAATTCACACAACTTTTACCCTTAAGCTTGGACAGTGCCCAATTGTTACGCTCTATGGTACTCAAATTCCATCTTCTCCGTCTGTAAAATATCTTGGTTTAACCCTAGACCGCCGACTTACCTGGGCCCATCATACTCGTGCAAAAAGACTTCAACTAAACCTTCGAATCCGTATGCTTAAAACTTTACTAATTAATAACAAACGTACTAACTTAAGTATGAAACTTCTAATGTACAAATCCCTTATTAAACCTACTTGGACCTATAATATCCAACTATGGGGTAATGCTAAAAAATCAAATATAAATCGTATTCAGGCATTTCAAAATACTACTTTAAGAAAATTAACTAATTCCCCTCCATACGTATCAAATTATACCCTCCATTCTGATCTAAAAATTAAAACTGTTAAAGAAGAAGCAATAACATATTACAAAAGATTCCACTCTCGACTAGCCTCCCACTCTAATCCCCTAATAAAAGGTCTTTCAACTAATGTTATTCCTGGTAATCCTCCTAGACGCTTAAAGCGCAACTGGTGTAGAGATCTATTAACTTAACTTAAGTTAAAAAAATAAAAAAATAATCACTTAAAAGTGTCATTAATGGGTGGCTCCTTTTATCAAGTATTTCATGTTATATTTTTATTTTAGCTAATACTCTTATTGTACCCATTGGGAACAGATTGTGTATATATTAATAAAGCAAAAAAAAAAAAAAAGTTTTAAAATTCTAAAAGACTCCCTACTATAAAATAAAACCTACTCTTCTGTTTTAGACATAACACATAACCCATAGTATTAAGTCTGCAGGCAAAGAGTTAGAGGGTTTATTTTTGCTTGTCCCGTGTGCGCGTGTAAAATAATAAGTATTGGTTATAAATGTGTGTAATCTAATATACATATATATATATGGTTAGAGAATGAATATGAAACACCAAGGAGCTGCTAACAATCCTTTTGAGCCTGCCCGAGTAAATTTTGAACAAAAGGTATGAGATGGATACGTATTTAGAATAAATCATTAAGCCAGATTTTTAAGGCCTATGAGAGTTCCTTGGTACTACTTCACTGTCTTGTTTCTTCTTTATTACTATTGTTGCGGTGGGATATTACCTACTATAATATCCTACTATACTATATATATAGCGAGCAGGGAGCAGACATAAGCATTATTTTTAAATGGTGTACCTAACTAAAATAAAAATAAAATTGTATTTAGATAATAATTCATAAAAAAATACACTTTTGTTTTTATTTCAAAGATTTTAATAATAATTTTGAATAAAATGTCAAGTGCATCTGTCGAGTTGACCATCGCACAATCAACTGTCATGTATATATATATATATCAACAATTTATTCGGATTTATAATAACCATGTTTTTTAC